TCTCCAAAGCTCACCTGCCCGCCCTCAGCTCAATTCATGCAACTGCGGTGTTTAATGTGTTTTTAATTGCAGCGATGCGATTAAATACTCTCTTATTATTACTTGCTATTATATAAGTACATTATCGTTATTATATATCCGCACGACGGCGTCCCTATACCTATAATAAAATAATTTTTAATAACATATTATTATTGGTTTAACGAATTACGGTCAGGCCGTATATCGGATGGGACCATCCGTTTGTGATTTTATGTGCATGCATGTGTGTGTGTGTGTGTGTGAGATAAGAGGGGAGGAGAGGAGCAAGGTCTGTAAAAAAAACCTTGAATAATTTAGCTCATCATCCTCCAAAGGACTGGTAAATGTACCGTGTATGATTTAGACGTGGAGGGCGGATAAGACCATCATTGGGTCTTACATGCTAATGGTGTATTATTGTATTTATGTATGTATATACAGGTCCACATCTATATATCGGCAGTAGTCCCCATGTATGTACCTACATAAACGATAAACGTTGAAAGGCCTTTTGTAACATATTATAATTCGTTCTGTATAATATTATGCACATATGTAGGCACCACATACCGTCGTGTGATGCCCATAATATAGTATAAATCGGAAGTATTGAAATTTGTACACATAATATGAAATCGTTAAACGATATAATATAGTCTAGTGGAACATATAATATTAAAATTATAATAAAAGGTATTAAGCATCGGTATATAGGCATTTGGCATTATAGTGTCCACGTGATAACACATCGTAAAATTGTGTTTATATTGTATAATATGCTTATATATAGTTTGAAATTGTAATCAATTTCGACGTACTCCATATTATCTCATACCACGTTATATATTGAACATTATGGTTTACGGCGATAGATCCTCGTCTGTCGGTCCGTGATAAATTTAATGTTTTAATTTTTATGTTTATGATCAATTCGGTTTATACTCTTTTGGTAGGTTAGGTACTGCTATATATAATAATAAATTATGGACGATTAAATAAAAACCACTCGATCACATCTACTCCTGAGAAAATTGTAGACAATATTATATACCTTGACGGCTCAACAAATCAATCGACAATAATAATATTGTATAATGTTTACAAGACCATCAGACGAAATATCATTTAGATCTGCTATGTGTAATACAAATTTTAACAATAATTATTATTTGCGAATGTGTAATGGAATAAACTTCAATAATCGACGAAACGAGTTTTTGTTCGATATTAAGTTTTCCTATATAATATAGTAAAATAACAATGATAGTATTATTATAACCGTCCTATTGCACTGCTGCTGATCCATCCAAATGATATATATTTTAGTGACGCGACTCTCAAGTGTATTGCGTTTTATTATTTTATATTTTACATTTCACTTTTTGACAAAACAGTTTAATTGAAATCGACGAGTTTTTAATTATGCATGCAAAATATATTTTATACTGATCGTTTCGGAAACCATAGCAGCTGTACAGTAATAATATACTACCCGTAACGCTACATCAAGGGTGGCAGCAGATAATGCATAACTAATTCAAACAATTATTTATGATCACGTATATCCAGAGAACTCGCGCCGACTTCCTCTAAAAAACTAGATTTATTCGATTATCGATAATAATAATAATAAATAATCATTATTATCGTCATCGTTATATATTATTATTATTATTATTAGACGTCATCGAACTGTGTATACGATAATATGTGTAATATGCCCAGTGTACGAGTATTTTATTCGCAAACAATCGTACACGAGAAGACTTGCCATAAATATATATAATATATTATGTATAAATATATATTTTACACGGGCGTATACTCGCAGCTTCCCGGAGAACAATAAACATGTCAAATAATTTACGAAGCACTCGGAAACTTTCTCTGTGTCGCATTGTACAATAATGCGTGCATTGCAGTTATTGTATTATTATTATTATTATTATTATATACGTTTGAAACGTATCAGCGGTTGTTTCCAATTATTATTACCACACGCGATACAGATTAATTTATTTCGGAGGAAACGTTGTAAATCATCGTCCTCAGCTTGCCGTAACATTGTGTGCAGGATCGTTCAGGTATTCCGTGTGATTGTTGTACCTAAATAATTGCGCGGAGGCTGTTAAAACTCGGAATAACAACACGTTATAATATTATTATCCACAAATTAGCGAGCTCTCTTGCACCTGGTGGGGCGGCAATGCCCTGCCCAGAGAACGTGTCGCGATAGAATTAAAGTACCTCTCCTGTACGGATAAACTGCGAACTTACAATGTCGACATTCAATTCAATCAAGCTATGCGCATTGTCTCTGGTACTGTAAAATCGACGCGCACAGAATTTCTCTATCGGTTCTGTGCAATATTTTTACCACTAGATATTCGTCGTTAAAAGAAACCACTTGCCGAGAGTGGTCAAAGTACTTATCGAGTACCTATTTCTCTTTTACCACTACACGTCGAACTAGAACCTGCAGCTTAGACTGAAATCTAGAAAACCCGTGTGTTTAACAACTATATAACCAAGTCCACTGATAGAGCCAATATCACGGACGAATGGAAACTAACGTATGGCGGTCACTCAATATAAAGTCCGTCTCATACATTTTAAGCGTCTGTTCTCTCCTCGTGCTTTCGGCGGGACGTTGGAAGAACTCTACGAAGCTCAGTGACAAGGCGGTCAACTTGAAAAGGACTTGTCGTCTTGACATCTATCTAGACACTTGAACTTTGTATATCTGACTACACGGTAAAATTACCCTATGAGAAGTATTAATTACCCACTCAAACTGTTTCTAAGACTGTCGTGTAAATTACTACAAATTGGTAACTGCGTCTAGGCTGTTTATATTTTTATCATATAGGTATAATAGGTATACCATCATACGATATTAATATTAATCGAATATGTTGACAATGACGATTCCGACTTTTGCTATAATAATTATAACATTACCTTGATATTAGAATTTTTGGTATACTAAAATGTGGCTAAAATATTGTACTTATTTTTGTGTTACTTATATTTCTGCAGTTTATGGTTCTCGTTGTCGTCGTGACAATGTTTGCTCGTATCACTGAGATTTGTTTTGTTTTATTAAAACAGTTTAAAACACGTTCACAAAAACGCACCTATGTATATATTATAATATATATATTTTGCAAGCAAACCGACGACGGTTTCAACAACACACGCCATATCATTATAACTTATAATGTCAGTATCCGTACTCACTTACACTCGTCTGCATCATAAACAGGAAATATTTTCTAAAACATTACAAACTGTACAGGGTGACTTTTTTGTCCAACGGAGAACTGAGTATCATTTTTCTTTTTCGGATACACCATAAATATGAATTCGAAAAAAGAATGTCCGTACCTATATATTTTTAAAATTACCTATTCGTCAGTTTCAAAGAATAAAATGAAACACGGCAAAATGTAGTTCGACAAATTAAGATTTTCCGCGCATACTTTAAAATGCTCGCGGTGATTGGCCACACGAGCAAACGTTTCTCTTATAAACAATTCGGGTCTCGTGGTGTACCTACTTGAAAAATATGAGTTGGTATGCGCTACTATATGTGATATTTAAATATAATATTTCAATGTAAAAATAACAATTCCACCAGTGAAAGGTACACCCTGTACGCATCGTATAAACATATTATTATATTATGCATTGCTAAATGGTATAAAATTCAAACCGCATAAATGTAAGTACGTTCTATATTATTCCCGTGCGGCTGCAGTATAATATATTTACGGGCAAAAGTTTAATCGCTGCGTAGGTATCGATATGCAATGGTATTGGCCGAAAACGTTCACGCCTGTAAGACTTCAAATCCCTTTGGTTTTTTTTTCCACGACAGCTTTTATATTGTTCGAACACATTGTGAAAACTTACTGTTTATTACGTGACGCGCCAGCACAAAAAGGTGCGTTTTAACAATACAGTATATAATACGTAACGGCGGCGTGCTCTTGGGTATGTGCTAGTATTAATTCTCTTAAAAACGTGTTTCATACACCCAAAAAGTACAGACAAATAATGTTAAAAATGTCACGTTTAAACATTTTCGACAATCAATGTATATATAATAATTATTGTATTATCATTATTATTATTATTGCACTAGTATTACACTGTAACTATATATATACTCCTTTTCAAAACAGAATATACCGCTTTCGCGCATGTCGAATGATTCGATTGGTGCGTCAAGAACCACGTGATCACTCTAACAATGGGAAATTAGTGGGGAATGCGCGCCTCCGGACATAAATTGGTCGCCGACCGGTATATTTTCTTTTGAAATGGAGTATATTATACCGGATGATTATTTTATCAAACAACACTCAATATTTCAAAAAGTGTAAATTTTTTTGAAAATATTTTTTATCCTTATAATTTTTATGTTTTTTACTTTTTTTGAATCACAACGTAGGGTTTTAACGGGTTTTAATTTTATATTCTAAAGTAGAATATTTTTCTTAGTATTTTTATACATGAAAATCGAATTTGGGGCTAGTAGTTTATGAGTTAAAAGTATTTAAAGTTTAGACGAGCGGAGTGGAGTGATTTGGGGTTACCCCGCGAAATGCTTGTCCACTTCACCGCTCATCAAACTTTGAATATTTATAACTCATAAACTACTCAACTAAAAATAGATTTTCATGTATCAAAATATCGAGAAAAATATTTTGTTTTGAAATATAAAATTAAAACCCTAAGTTGTCATTCAAAAAAGTAAAAAACTTAAAAATTATAAGGATAAAAAAATATTTTCAAAAAAATGTACACCTTTTAAAATAATGAGTGTTGTTTGATAAAAGAATCACCCAGTATATATAGGTAATTGTTAATTTTAGTCTAGACAATTTACAGAACTTTCCTATAATTATTATGAACATGTTATCAATGTACATATCAAGATACATAAACTAATAAAATAATATGTTTTGTTTCAGGTTTCATCAACTCAAACACTCTACATTCTCTAGCTCATATACACAGTAAGTGCATTTTTTTGAATATACCTATTTTAAGCATTTAGTTTGTCGGATAAACAGTTTTTAACGATTTAACTTTTTCTCCGGTTTATTGATGATGTTGCGTAGTATGTCGTATATACCTATACGTGTACACGCACATCATCATCATCATCATCATCACAAGTCATCGGCTTAACAGTAAATAGATTTTCCAGTTGTAAATCATGCCGTTTTTTGACAAGGTCTCAATTTTATTATACGTGCTAACGATACAAAATGAAGTTCTCTGACGTCAGTCAAATATAATTATAATTGACACATATTGTCTCTCCTGAAAATCCCTATATACCTACAGTTTATACGAATATTGTTCTCCTATTATAAATGTATAATAACTTATATAGATACACATTATTAAAATAACCATCACTGCTGGTTTCGTTCTACACATTTTTCTCCCTTGTTTTATTCGTGTATAGTGTCAATTAATGATTTATTTAAATTACTTTTATTCGTAGTCTTGCATTTGTATTATTACACACCGAAGGCCACGTCGAAATGATGAAGTATTAATAAACTGTTTTTGACTGACTGACGAGTTGTACGATGAAGTTTCTGTTTTTTTTTTTTGGCTTGGTGATAGTTTTAATTTGTTTACAAATTAATTACATTTGTTTTGATGTGGCAAAATATTTTGATGAAACACTTGCAAGATTGAGAGTTTTAATTAAATTAAATTAGAAACACATTCGTATATTGTTTAAATAATGTGTTTTTTTAATTGGTCATAGGTATAAAGAATTTAGTTATTTCAATATACCTTACATTAATTGTTATTTATAAATGTATAATACATACAACAATTATGATTAATAGTTCGTTGTTTGCTATATCATTATAGAATCGATAAAAATCATCGAAATCACACAACATTTGAATTGGAATTTTACCTACTAATATATTATATTCTATGGTACTTGTAATTATTTAAAACAATTTCAAAAATACTAAACTGACTTTTTTTTAAATACTAGTCACTAGTATTGATAGTTAGTGTACTGAATGTTTTATTTATATACATTATCTATCTAATAGTGTTTCGTCGTTAATTGCATTGCATACTCATCTTATCAGTTTTTTAAATATATAAGTACTTATGCAATTAAGGTCATGACTGTTTATTTTTTCACTAGAGTTAAAACATAAAAAGTAGCCCAAAGCTAGGTGTTACATAGATACCAGCTATTATAATACATGTAGTTTAACAAAAAATAAAAAAATGTTCTGCGTATGCTACGATACTGTAAATGCTTTTTATATTTTTCTTTATGTATAACTTGTATTTTACCGAGTTGAAAATCTGTGACAAGCATGACATTTTTTCACATCTACAGCGACCATGAAAATCTGCTTACGTTAAGAAAACCTTTATCCATTTCAAAACGTATTATGTAGGCTTGTCAAGTACTCCTCCACTGTATCTAAATACCTTATGCATACTTAGGTGAAAAAATCTTTACCGAAAGGATTTTCATTATTTTTGATGTAAACAACAACGTGATTCTGAACTGAAGTTTACATTTTGCTGTTATTAATTTTTTCTGAGTAAAGTTAAATGATGTTTAAAATGTAATTATATATAATCGTTTACAGCGCCAAATAAATACATAATAATAATAATTAAAAACATTATTATTATTTGTATACTTCTGTAATTAAAGTAACAGAATACAGCTTTAATATAATCGTACACACCTTTTAATATTACTTTTTTTTTTTCATTTTATTGTTGACTTTTAAGGAGTTATTATTTAATAATTATATAGAGTGTTAGTTTGATGTAGACATTAATTTTAATTTTAATTTTAGAAATATTTTATGATGCTTATGTCTAATGGTAATTTTATACTTAAAAACTAAAAACCAATGTTGATTTTTGTTTTTCTGATAACTAAATAATTTTAATTAAGTCTCTTCCATTTGATCATTCTGATTGCTTATTTTTAATTTTAATTTTTATTACAAACCTTTTAGTCGTTATTGTTTAAATAACATACAATTATAAGTGTTTTTTAATTAATGATTATATGTTTTGTGTATTGTTCCGTGGCGCTCGGCTAGATTGTTTTATACGAAATAATTGGATAACCACCTAACATTTTCCTGCGAATTGTTTTCACCTTGCGCGGAGACAATCATCGTATTATAATGTTATGAAATGTGTAATACGTGTTTAATTCATTCGATGACTTTATCACTTTAATTTATTCGAATTAATATGGCAATAGTTAATCAGGTGTATTATATTTAATATTCTGTACTGTATCTGTCCAAGCTTATATTCGTACAGTGACCACTGCGAAGTCACATGCAAGTCACATGGCAGGTACCGCGCGTCGTCGTCTTAACACGATCTTCGTGTACGTCGATGATAAATAGATATTCCGATCAAACTATATTTCCTTTTAAAAAACCCAACGTAGATATATATATACTCTGAAACATCCCATTCAACATGCCCTGATGCGCAGGCGCCGAGAGTTCTAAAACGTAATAATATAATATTATTATACATTCGACTATACCGTTGTCCGACAACAGATTTGTTTGGATGTATTACCGCTGACCGACCAAACCAATACGCGGCACGCACGCGACTTTTCGAATCAATCTCTTTTTGGCCCATCGCAGCCTTTCTCTCGGCCGACAAAACACTTTTCTTCAAACGGCGCATACAAACTCGCATATATATATATATATAATATATGTGTGTGCCGAAAATACGAATAAATCTGGGAAAACGTCGCCTGTCTTGCATTATTCATTTTTTTCCTCGACAGCGGCGGCCACCCCTCTTCATGCCCATCGCCGCGGATCCCAGCGAACTCGACTTCGATTTTCTAACGAACCTCCTCCGCCGGCTGCAGCTCTTGTGCGCGTCGCCGGTTTTAAATAATAATAATAATAATAATATTCCGAATTTCCATGGTTAAAAAAATATTATTGTGTTAAAACGCGGCTAGACCTGCTGACGGCTTTCCATATATATATATACATAAAAAACGCACTGACACGTCACCGTGCCACCCCTTCGCTCGCCCCGAACCCAGCGTTTTATTTAATATGTATGTCATTATTATTATATTTATAACGATTGCCGTTTCACAGCCGTTTAGTTACGGTCAAAGTGGTTAATCAACCGTCGTGAATGAATTGATTATACCGCGGGGTTTTAACGGCCGTGCCGTCGAATAACAAAATATGTATACAATAACGTTATATTATTATAATATTTTCACGCGACTGCGACGACGACGTACCATGTAGCAGCGAGCAGTGCGTTAAACCACGCCGGTCGCCATGACGTGATGTATATATTATTTTATTATAATTTACATTGTGTGAGAAATATATCGCGTACTACTGTTATTGTGACACTGAAAACAACGACTACACCGTGTTACCACTAGTGTTCGTCGTAATTAAAATCCTCAATCGGAAATCATAATGTATTATGTACGGTGACTATTAACAATATATCATAATATACCATAATATAGCTATGTACAGTGGTTGCCCAACACACGGCCGACCTGACCCATCGGACTCCGTATAGTTATATTATACTATAGACTGCTGTCGCCGTGTATAAATAATATTACAATAATAATAAGTTATGTTCCATATAGTGCTCCATGTATGATCAATTTTTTTTCCTTCGTCTAATTATTAACATTGATAAACATCGCCATAATGACATCCGAAATATTTATGTACACAGCCCGGAGTAGCAACACTTCCTGTCCCGAGCACACTTTTAATTTCCGTTTGTCGTGAAACTCTTTTTAAAAAAAAATGTCCAACGACAAACTTACACCGAAAACAGTTTCAATTAACATAAAGTGCGTTTTTTTTATTTTGTATCGAGGATTCGTTGTTTTGAAAAGTAAAAAAAAAATTGTCCCTTGAAACCCTTTTTAGATTACAATATTTCAAAGAAAATGCGTTTATATTAATATACAATCTTCGTCGTTAATTAACTACCTACTTAGGTACTATCTATATTTTATTCAGCTGTTTTGTTCCCCATTTTAATTAGATTTAATTAAAAATGTATACAACATACCTACAATGACAAATCTCAATATTTTAACGCTGATGACTATATTTGGACTATGATGATATGAACGTTATTATATAATTAATACATAAAAATTGTATAGTAAATTTGTAAAAAATATCCAGAGTGCCTACCTATAACATAGTGCCTGAAATATATAAAATATTTGTTTTATATTATATGTAAAACCATTATTAAGGCTTGAGAGACTATTATCCTTAGTACATAAAGTTTAATATCTAGAAAATATTCGTTTGTATTTCAGTTGATTTACCTACTTATTAAAATTGTCAAAAAAATCATTTGCTTAAAAATGTTTTGTAAAAATGTAGTTAGTATCACCACAGGACACTCCTTTACGGTATTTAAGTACCTGTACTTAGAAAAATTCGAAAACCATGATAGATAGATGAATAATTCCGCTCAGCAACTATAAATTATTAGATTTTAAAAATGTTTTGTGAATTTGCAAGAGATTTCATGTTTTATATTGAATTATGTTCATAACTTAATTTAAACGTGGATACACGCTCTATTAACTGTGAAATTAAAATCGTACACATTTATAAAGAATTTAATCATTTAATCATCTATTTTTTTCGATACCAGTACAGAGAATATATTTTTTTCTGTTTTAAAAACTATATAGGTACCTTTGAAACGATGATGTGCGGGTATTGATAAAGGAAATTACAATTGCATGTTTCCACGTCAGTACCTACTGTGCTGATTAAAATTGAATGGCATTAAATAACACTGTCTGGAATTGGGCGGGTATTATTCAAACGACTATTTTCATAACGTATACACAATGTATATATTATTATCTAAACAACGTTCGGAAAAAAAAAACAAAACGTGTCAATTATTGTATTTAGAGGGCTCTGACCTCTCTGCTGTA